ATGTGACAAGTACAGCTGCAGCATACATTAATAGTCCTGAACTTTCCATATTTCTTGCATTTTCTTGCACATAGTTGCATCTATTCTATTATGATCTGAGAGCAGCTTTCCAGCAATGAGTGCACCCTTGCATATCAAATTTCACAATTTAAGTAAAAATCATGATTTAACTATTTCAATAATTTTTTTATTCAAAAATATTAAAGAATATACATTTTGTAATGTTGCAAAATTCTGACAAAAAATATATAAAAAAAAACAAACTTTGAAATCTGGTCTCTACACAGCTCCAATGGGTACTTGCCTGTAAACAATGCTCTTATAGATTTAAAAACAAATGTATATGCCCACCCCAAGGTATGGGTTTATATTTACTCATAAGCTGCCATCCCTTAGAAATAAATCTATCAAGGTCTTGTTTCTCATGTGACTTTCCTTTTCTCTTGCTAATTATATATCAAAAACTGAATGTGAAGAAGTTTTTATGGTGCCCCAGTGAGTAGATTGGACAGAATCTCATAAATCTTAGCCTTGAAACCAGATAAAAATGACTGGATAGAAAATATTCTTGTCTATTTACCTCAAAGTAAAGTACATAGAATGGAGAAGCAGTAATTTATGGTTTCTAAGAAAGTGATAGTTGTGAACAAAGGATTCTGATAAGAAGTATACAAAATTTGGAACAAACCACCAAAAAATTGAATGTTTTTAAGTTAATTTTTAGTTTTTGATAATTTTTTTGAGTTATATTTGAAAACTACAGGTATATTCTTCATTGAACAGACGTCATGTAAGAACATATAGTATTAATGAGTACAGTAAGCTAGGAGTTCTGAGACAGCAAACTATTCTGATGACACGAAAGCTTTATTGTTTGTGTATTAGTGAAGTTATTGCTAAACACATACAAGAACCCTTTAGTTACTAAAAATAAATGATAATTATTATACACAGATTCAGCTTGACCAAAAATACAAAAACATTTCCTACATCAGTGTAGGCCTAGAATACGAGTGCATGTCGTGTTTCTAATAGTTTATTGGTGTTTTATACTATTTTAAACAACTGATTCAATAAATAAAGATAAATAGCTATGGATATAAACTAAATTAGATATATAAAATAAAACTTTTTAACCAAGAATATTTTTAAAAATAAAGTTTTATTTCTTGCACATTTTTTAATAGTTACTTTCATTTTATGCAAGCATTTTTATTGTTAGATGAGAAAATAAGTATGCTGTCACTAGAACAACACAGACAACAATTATACCTTTATTAAATACTTTTTTAACTAAGCTTTAAAAGTGGACTGTTTCACTACTAGCTTTCTAACTCACCATATAGTAACCTAAGTTAATTTAGATGTGTAAATAACATAATAATTGGCATTAATTATCAGTAATTTCATTAAATGTAAATTCTAGTACACATTACAAACCTTCATCCTACCTTTAGGATTTGGGGGGGCATTGGGTGGTGGTAGTCCCTGAGTGGTTGGGGGTCCAAAACTTATGTTGATATTTGGGAACATAGAACGTAAGCTTTCTTGCCAGTCCTTCATGTTCAGTGCATTACCTATCTGAAAATTTTAAACCAGAAGGTGAAACACATCACAAAAAACTTACTTTACACTTCTATGTACCACAAATGAAATTTCAAAATTGAGTCAAACAATTTTAGACTAGTAAATCCTAGATTCTCCCTCCCATTTCAACTGGGCAGGCAGTAGCACTGCCTATGTAGAGATGGCTCGGATTGTTCTTCAAACTGGTATTTTAAATATCTCCTCAACAGGTCATCAGAACTTTACAATACTTAACAGTGTTTTCTTTAATAACAATATCTATGTAATGATTTAGTCATAAGTTCCTAGCAAAAAAGTTTGAATTTATTGTTGTTCTTTCTTCTGCTTCTTTTTTGTTACATAACTCGAAAACCAAAACAATGATATCAACCAATTTAACTAAGGTGACAGTATAAAAAAAATTGCAATTCTAGTGTAAACAATGTTATCATTACCCCTTGAAGTTAGGTTTCTTACAGAAATTTGGTGTTCCTTTAAAAAGCTTGAGTACAGGGTGAAACAAGGATTCCTAGCCAATAACTGATAAATAATAAATATTACAGATAAAACACCATTTTACGTAGAACTTAGTTATAAATACAACCTTCCTATGCCTTTTGAAACATTGCATTAAAGAAACCAAGCAAACAAGTAAAGAAAATACTTTTCAAAAAAGGAACAAACACAGGGATGGCTAATATCAATCCTTCAAAAACAATGTACACAAGACAGTTGGAATGGCATTTGTATCATCCCTACATAATAGCATAGGCAATATTTATAACTATTAAATCACAATTACATTTAATTTATTCTATTTTTGTCTGTTAACATTCTACTACGCTGTGCGTCTGCTATTATGTAGGGATGATGCAAATATCATCCCCACTATCTTTTTTGCATTGTTTTTGAAGGATGTCTCTCACTGGTGTTGAACAGACACTCAAGCTAGTTATTAATATATGAGCACGTCAGAGGGAGGTTTAGCATTTGGATCTCACCCATGTCACTCCGCTAGGGTACCCATGTCTATTTCATGTGTTTAGCAGGTACACCAAGCTAGCTATTAATATTTGAGCAAGTAGAAATTATTGAACCATGAAGAACACACACACAGTTCCCCTTTTACACTCTGAATTAAACTGTTACATAATGTTATCATTTCTCATGAAGTTTATGCCCACTAAATAAATCTAGAGATACAGAAATTGTATTTAACCTACAAAAATAATCATCAATCAGAAAATCACTTACTTTTGGTCTAAGAGATTGCATACTATGTACAGGCAAATGTTTGATGTGGTTGTTGAGCCCCTGCAAAGGAAGGGGAACTTGTTCCTGAAATGAGTTATACCCATTCATTATGTGGTGGTTTGGAGGCATGTTCATTAAGGATGTCATTTTGTTAGAGGAAGTTTCTGTGGCAAAGAAACAACATAATTATTGTTAAGGTAATTTCAAAGCAGGTTTCCATATAATAATGCTGTCACAGTACAGTTGTACTCAATCCTGGCCTTATTTTAAGGTCTTAAATAGTAACTATTAAATAAATGGTTAATTCCTGTAACTGTGTGTAGGAGTGGAGGGAAAGGATACTCATTTAAAAAATCTTTTAAGCTCCAAAATTATTATTATTTTGGTTTATTATTCATCCAATGTTCTAACTTGCACATTCTTCAGGGTAAGATCTGCTACAGAAAACAGTACACTATATTTACTAACTGCTGAGCTGAATAAAAACAAATCTAAACATCCAGTAGAAATCATTCGAACACAAGCACAATGATCTACAAGTCTATCCAAGTCCCCACCCGAACGAGCAAAGCAGCCGGCAGGGCTTGCCCGAGATACCACCCGAACGAGCAAAGCAGCCGGCAGGGCTGCCCGAGATACCGCCCGAACGAGCAAAGCAGCCGGCAGGGCTGCCCGAGATACCAACCGAACGAGCAAAGCAGCCGGCAAGGCTGCCCGAGATACCACCCGAACGAGCAAAGCAGCCACCAAGGCTGCCCAAATTACCACCTGAATGAGCAAAGCAGCCAGCAAAGCAACTATTTACTACACGAACAAGGAAAGTAATTTAAAAATTGATTTAAGTACACGAGTCAAGTAATTTGCAAAAATTCCTGGTTAATACAAAATGAAAAATACATTTTCATAAAAGCAATTTTTTTTCTTCAAAACACCATGAGTGAAAATCATTTTGCTTACATCCAAGAAATGAAATTCTAATATCATGCACAAATTCGAAATTTCTTAAGTAACAATTATGAAAGTGTTCTTATCAAAAGAAATAGTTAAACAATCAACAACAAATATTATACTAGTATTCCACATATTCTTCTATCTTAAATACTAAAAATTAATAATTTCCTAAAGGAGCAAATTAAATCAGCATCAAAACATTAACAATGGCATAACTAGCAAAGGAAATAAAAGTATTTAATAATTACATGCCAAATTTCATCCACTTGCTTTTGCATCTAACAAATTTAACAAATACCTGTTGTATAGCTCATTCCTACCTGAAGAAAATGCTGGTATGGGAATATTTACAAGCTTGTTGATATGGTTAGGACCAAAACCTGGGGGTGGAGGAGCAACTCGTGTTGGTAGTTCTTGGTTATGGTTGAGTAACAAATGGTTAGGATAACCCTTAGCATTCATCAAATGGGAGTAAGAATGTTGTACTGATGCTAGTCTGGGATTTATTAGCTCTGGTGGTTGTTCTGGTTTTTGTATGGCTTCTTTTTCAAGGAGATCAGCTAGTCCTTTGGCTGATTCATCCCAAGGATCAAAACCTAAAAAAAAATATATTATTTACAAGTCTTATTGATTATAATTACATATAATTTTAAGTTTATAATCATAAACAATTTTAAAACATACCTAACTCATCATCATGAAGTTTATGATTAGATGGACTGAACCCAAAGGCTGCTTGCCAATCCGTGCTACTATTTACTGGAATGCTCTCCGAATGAAAAGCCAGATCTGGATGATTTAACCAATCTTCTGTAAAGAGAATTAATCTATTAGAATACTAAATATTTTACAAAATGTACAGCAGATAGAAATAAATTTTGGTTTATAATAGAAGAAAAAACAATAATGGCATACATATTCTGCTCAAGCTCTCAGTCTCCTGCTACTAAGATTTATATGAATATAAGACCAGGTCAGGAGATAAATGCTGTAAATCAGCTAGATGCTGATCTTAACACACAGTTTTCTCCAAAAAGTTACATAAACACAAAAAACTTTTAACAATATAGAAACCTAGAAAGTGTGTCGAAGAGAAAAATCATAAATCCAATAATAACAACACAAAAATTTACTTTTCCTGTAAGTTTCAAAACTAGAAGTGGCTAGCTCGCAAAATACCAATGAGTTCTAATATTTAGCCAAAGGTCACTGGGATTAGTTTGCTGCCAGTTAATCCAGGTATAATTAAAATTATTCAGTCCAGCTGTAAATGATAGTCAAAATTACTTAACCCTAACATCAAGAGTTGATTGCACAGATATTAATGGTTGTTTTGATCATCACAATATCAGGCAAAAGACAAAACCACTAAAATTGCCTATTATAAATAAGTTGGTATTAAAGCTTTTGAACAAATTTTTTTGCTCACAAGTCCACCTCTTGCAGATACAATCTCATTTAAAAATTAGTCCCCCCCCATACGTCTCAAGATTATGTTGAAAGTCCATCACCTTTTATAAAGTAATTTTCTTATAAATGATCTATTTCAGTGCTAAACTAATCAATATACACCAAGAGAAGATACAACAGTAGTGTTCATTCTTGTCTTAGTTGCAAGTGCAAGGATGGAAGGTACATTTGCATGAAATGCAAATATTATTGATGCAGTTGCAATGGAGTCCTGTTAAAGTTAAAGAAATCAGGAAAATGAATCATCCAAAAATGTGATGATTGAATTGAAATAGAAGAAACAAATTGCAAAGTGGAAGGTGTTTGTTATTATTAAACACAAAATTATACCTTGAGCTATCTGTACTGTACCCACCACAAGTATCAAAACCCAGTTTTTAGTGGCACACACTCTCAGACTTACTGCTGAGACACTGGTGGGGGCAAAGCAGAAGGAATAGTAAGAATAAGATATTTTGTTCTTCTAATTGCAGTTACTTTCATTGTCTTATATTGTTATGCAATTAAAAGACTTAGATACGATTACTCAGATTTCAGCCAACAAAAGACATATGATATAACATTGAGGAACATTTATTGTTGTTTCCATGAAGACCACAGTTTGTCCTAAATATCACAAACATGTTTTAATTCATTCTTATAGTACAAATCAAAGACAAAACAGAATAGCCCCTAAAAAAGTAGCATTCCTTTTGCAGAATTTTCAGTAACACAAAGACAATATTTTGGGAGTTTTTCAGTTTCTCAAAGCAAGAGCTCAAATGATTCTCTAACTCCAAGTTTAATACGAGAAATAAGTCTTGCCAATTTTTCTCTTGTTCAAAATTGCCACCAAAACATGGCAATTATAATATAACTCACAACTGTAAGGTTTTTAAAAAAAAACTGCCTGCAAGTACAACCTTTATCACAAACAATCTAAAATTTGATAGTATATTAGCATGAACAGTAGTCAAAGCCTACAATACAAAATCATTTAAGTGCTAGGTATTTCTTTTGAATATATAGAGTTTTGTATATTCAAACAAAACACACAAACACAAGAAATTCTTATTTAAAAAACTGCATTACAAGTACACTGATCTTAACCAAAAACAGTTTCCAAAATAAGCAATGACTATCACTAATGACACCAGTGATGCCATTTTGGAAGATGAGATCATTCATCCTCAATAAATCTTTGTCAATCTTACAGTTTTAGTATAATTTTTAGAAAGAAGTCCACAACTTCAACTGGCAAAATAAAGTATCAAAATAAACATGTTAATAAATATCAACAAGTTTAATTTGACTGGACACAAAATCTTTTTTTTTTATTATTATTATTATTATTAATCATTGAAAAGTAAGTCCAAAACAAAAGTATTTTTATTTTTCAAAGGAATGTTTCACAAGAAAACTTCAACAACTTTATAACCTAAGACATAATACATATACTAAAGGCGATTCACTGACTTCACTGAAGATAGACATTGGAATTTTAATGAGCAGAATCTAATGCAATGACTGACCATGTTGGACATTTACCATCATAACTGCTGTTACCATGCACAAAGAATTAAGCTAGATGTTGCCAACTTTATGTTTGATAGTAGTACAGAAAGAACTGACACAGAAAAATAAATTATATATGCTTCAACAATAAAAACTTTTCTCATGTAACATACATACTTGTGGATGTAAAGATACCAAGTATGAGTGTATTTTGGAAGCACAGCAGCTAGCCTTACACAATTTTTTTTTTGCCTAATGAATTTAAAATCCATGACTGTAGGCTTTAGAGTGGTGGTGAAAGTGTAAATTTCAGTGTGGGTATACTATTGGCTGTAGTTGCATATTGGCCTGTTTAAATACACTCCATTGACCACAGTTTGGAACAAATTCTGAAGGACATTTTTAAAGTAGTATACACATTTACAGTTGTTGATATCTATCCATCTGTTCTACAAAAAATTTTCAAAGAACCTTATACAAGTAAATGAAATAATTGAAGATCACTTCAAGTTCAGCAGACCCAAATGGGACAAGCTGGAAGCAACAGACAAATTGCAGACCCAAATGGGACAAGCTGGATGCAACAGACAAATTGCAGACCCAAATGGGACAAGCTGGATGCAACAGACAAATTGCAGACCCAAATGGGACAAGCTGGATACAGCAAACAAATTGCAGACCACACACACACAAAGAAAAAGGAATAACAACACTTTCCCGAGGACAAAGAAAAGCCTGTTGAAGACAGCACAATGGTGTCTGGACTTCTGATAAGACTCAGAAGATTAGCCGTATAGAAACAGATATGTCAAACTGTGCATGTCATGACATTTTACACATAATTATATTCAAAATTTAATTTAACAACTTTATTATCAATGTATATCAATCAACTTTGCATTCAAATGTAGCTTAAAATTCAAATTTTAATACAACTTTTAATTTTTCAATTTCAAAAGAAAGTTTAAATTCTCAGTCTTCACTTGTCTGTATTACATTACACTGTTCCATAAATGCCCATTTGATTTTACTGTACCCTATGTGACTGCTGCATGACAATACATGCAATAAAGGTGAAGACCACAATTCAGAGAACATCCTGCTTTCAAAAAAAACAGACAAGTTCTCTCAGACATTTGCTCTTGAATTATTTGTAACCATCAGAAAGCCAACATTTTAATTTACTGACAGCTACAGGGTCTCAAGCTTTTCCAATGTGAAGCTTTTGGCATTATTTTCTTTGTTTTTCCATTGTTGGAGCTCTGCTTAACAGGCACGGGAATTATTAAAACATTTCTAGCTTAATTAGAAAGCCAGATAAATTATATTAGTTTCAGCACATTCTATTTTGTATGTGAGGCAATATTTGATACTTTATGTTGCATATTTGAATTTAAAAAAAAATTCAGACCATAATAATGTTACCAAGAATTAAGCCTAGTGTTTGACATATGCTTTATTGATGCAAGTACTAAATTTCTTGGTTTTTTATGCATATTCTTTTATTTATCGTTATAAATGTAACTAAAATGTATAAATTGTAAACTTTAGTTAAATAAGGAATTTTAAAAGAAATTAGATAAACAAAATACTCATGAACAGCAATATCATATGCCAAGTATGGTCATGTAATTTTGACATGTTTGTGTTAGTAAATGGATTTGTTGTCCAGTGTAATAAATAGTTATTGCCTTAGCTGAGATGGTCCAATGTAATTTATATTTTGTATTTTTTGTTTTGTGGTGGATACAACGTCAGTCAAAACAACAGAGCTCATGTACAAAAATCTACTTTTATTTTTTAGCTATTTCTACTTCAGGTTGTTTCAGAGAAACTAGAAACAAAGGCTTCTAGTCATTAAAATTAAATAACATTACAATGCCTAGTGCCTTGCCCAAACTAGAAAGCCCACAAATCATGCTTTTTCCCCAAGCAGGATGAGGAATACCACCACAGAAAGAGAGCACTAGCATACATAAAACTGAACAAGGAAGGGGTACTCACTAAGCAATATGAAAACAAACCGATCTGAGAGATGATGAAACAGATTGTTCTTATCTATCAAGGATGCCTTGAATAGATGCTTGAGATGACCAAACCAAGAGAATACGAGAGCAACAAATGTGTTTGACCAAAGTACTGACCTGAGCAGTTTTCACTTTTATGGTATAGAAACAGTTCAAATTCTCATTGATCATTTCATCTCAATTTCACATAATTATGATTGACACCCAGGCTGTCCTTCCTAGGTAAGTGGGCAGAGGTGAAAACACATGACTATGTTTGCTAGCATTCATCAACTGGATGTATCACACTGTACAAGCCAATATGATGCTGATGGAAGAGATATTAAAAACAGTGTTACTCTGACACCTAGGCAGAGATGAAGATGCATGTTAGACTGGCTTTCTGTATGCTGACCTCTATACATGTTTACATGACAGCACGTAAGCAAGGATGATGTTAACAAATATTCCAAAAAATCCTTCTCTGCAACACTTACCCACCCCAAATCTAGTGGTTCAGCTTGTACGCAGTTACAATCAATCATTTTATAATGATTACTGTCAACAGTTTTGAAGAATAAATATAAAAATCTGACAATTTCACCGACCAAATAAATAAGTTAACAGATGATGATTTTGTCTATGACTCCAAACACATTCAAGGAAATAGGCATTTTTTGAATTTGCAAGCTAGTTCAGCACAATCTACAAGTTCTGTTGTAAAAAACTGGTAATTACAACTTAAAGTAAGAGAGTTTAAAACCCCATTTTTACATACATTTTTGATCATATTAGGAAGCCAGCATATGAGAATACAGCTACTCCAAAATATTGTCCTTTCAAAGTTAAACAAATGTCTCAACCACAACCAGGTGGCATACATAAGATACTTTTAATCTTGGATGGATTGTTCACTTACTAGAAAATTAAGAAACTGGAAGTTTTATAAAAGTGTGTAATCTAAATAACACTGAAATTAGAAAAAGAGTGATATATCAGAATTTTTAAAACTACCGTTTCAGTTTACTAAATATATATGTGTACATATAAAAATTCTGCATAATTAAATAACTGCTATTAAGTATCTGGTTATGGTACAATACTATAATACATTAATACTTCTGTAAAATCCTTGATTGTCACGCATATTTTCAACACTAAATAAGTAGTTTTCTAGTATACAGAATTTTTAAAAATAAATTAGATCATTATTACCATATAATCCATAAATATGAAAATTTCTAACCATCAATAACACCTAAACATTCATTTTTAATAGAATATAACAGGAGTTAATTTTCCTGCAATACTCCTAAACATCTTTTTCTTAATGCTTAATATTATGTAGTGATGAGCTAGTACCTTCTGAATCATCTAGCTCTTTGTATGTAGACAATGCAGAAGTAGGTTCATTCTGAAGAGAGTCAAGCTTTGGTGTTTCACACATAGGAGGGGACTGGTTCTCAATTATATTACAATATGCCTGCAAAGTTGAACTCTCTGCTTTACAGTCTGATGGTTCAAGTGTCTCCTCATTTGTCCCAGGGTTGGAATCCGGTTCACGACTCCACGACTGCTGGGGAAAACTTGGTACTGGAGGAGTCGCTTGAGATCTAAATGTGTGAAGAGACTCTCTACTGCTACTGTTACTATGACTACTGCTTCCCCTGGACAGACTTTCTTCCAATGATCTCTCTCTTCCTTTCCTGCAATTTCAGTCATTACATCTAAATATCATATTCAACATATGTTTTCTCATAATAACCATTTTAAATTCAAGCATTAAAATAATACAGTTCCTTCCCAATACCAATACTTGCCTTTCTAATACTACACTATTGTACCACTTGTACTAAAATTGATTTTTTTTTTAATGTACAAAATAAAGGAAAAATCCCTTTCATAAAATACAAAGTACATTGAGAAATGAAAAACTAAATAAAGTTAACCAGTAACTCACTCAGAAATCCAACATAATAATGATGAGTTTACAGTGTTGAATTTCAATTACAGACTTACTAAGCCCAAACATTTCTCGTTGTTTTTACACTTTTTTTTCATTTATTTATTTAGTTTAAGCTAATAATACAAGAAATAAGCAACATCAGATATAACTGTATGCATAATTAGAAACTATAGAAAAAATAATGTCTGCTTTAGTTTTCTAATTTTAGACATGACAAATTTCTAAATTATTACATAGTTTTACATTACGACCACTGAAACCAGGTAATTGTTTTTAATGTTGTCACTGAAAAAATGACAAGTAACTTTTTTTTGTTGAAAAAAGATAACTGTTCACTACAATAATAAAATGACAAACATCAAGTTCAAAACTACATAAAACTCAAATAAAGTTAATGTTACTAACAGACCCATCTTATTCCAGACTACTTACCCCTTCCTTCCTTCTTCCCCCGAGTCATGTTTTTTACTACTCTGACGACCACCTCCCAATGACTTTTGCCCTCCTCCTTGAGGGGACAGAACAGCACCCTTTGTTAAACCATTGGTCCTATGATCAGTTTTGTGTTGTAATGTTGACCAACCTTCTTTGTGGCCCGTTTGTCCATGACTTGTATTGTTTGTAGGGGAAGAAGCAAGCCTCCTATATGATATTTATTTATCAATATGAAGCTTAACATCAATTCTAGTCCTGTAGTATAGAAGCAATTAATATTCTTCTCATTATGATCAGAATCACGATTCTTTCTAGTTATTTTATTCTATATCACAAAACATATTTCAATTCCTTATACTTATTCTCAACTTGTTACAGTAGCTACTACAACAAGTAAAAAAAAACAGTTTGGTCTTACTTTTATAATTTATGAATAAATGTCATCTACAAAACTTGTTCTCAAATGGGTACTATCACATACTTGTTAGTATGCGACTCCCATCCTACACATATTGAATACCTACTGCCCCAATTATTGAAGAAAGAAATCATTCTTTTGTAGTAAACTACATGTACTAGCCTTGAAGAAAACAAGATGAGAGGTACAAAGACTGAACATGCAAACAACATTCATCCACGATTAGAACTGGACACCAGTTGCCAGTGGAATAAAGGGGATTCATTGTTCATAAATACAAAAATATGCATACACATGCACTAGTCCTGTATTTATTGAAGGACGTGCCAAAAGCCATCCTAGTTTAAAATGTTGGAAAATGCAAAGATAAAAGTTAAGTATATCTAAAATGATAGTGCTAAAAGTTACACATTGCATTATAGTAGTTTTAAGCTTTGCTGTTATCAAATTGAATGTAACAACTGAAATGTATTTACTACTCAACATCTACAATTGTCATGTACTATATAAAAGCACAACCCACACAAGATGTCAAATATTTGATATATTTATCTGTATCTCAAAATATGAAAGGTATGTGTGTGTGTGTGTGTGTGTGTGTGTGTGTGTGTGTGTGTGTGTTAGTTAGTGACGTTGTGTCGTAGTAAGTTAGTAATAGTATGATTACTTAATAACCTAATAATAACTATTACTACTACTACGTTATTAATA